ACACCAGACTTAAAAGGTCAGGGTAGGCTTTTTCCAAATAATGGAAAAGAAAGAAACTGTAGAAGAAAATTTTGGTAGATTTACATACATGAAAACTTAACTTCTTTTCTGGTGAAAACCATCACAAAGAATGTTACAAGGTGAAGTGAAAATTCTGTAGAAAATACAACTACCTTAATATCCTTAACATACAAGGAATTCTCATAAGTCAATGCATTTGTCTTCTGGTGAACAAAAATGTATTGAGCAATTATTACTGGCGAGGTTAAATGGTGGGGACACAGCAGTAAACAAAACAGCTACTCTTATGGAACCTGCAGTCTCACGGGCAGAGATGGCCAATAAATAAAATAAGTAAGAACACAGAATGTGGTGGATGATAATGGATGCTACAGAGGAAAATGAAGAAAGAGGAAAATGGAGAAGTGGGATAAGGGCTTCCAGAGGGCGAGATCACAATTTGTAATCGACAGACAGTCTCCCTGAGAAGATGACATGTGAGCTAAGACCTGAAGGAGGTGATAGCAAGCCACAGGGACATCTGTGCTGCAGGCAGAGGGAATGGCAGTGAGGTGGGAGCAAGCCTGGTATGCTGGAGGGGAAGTAAGGAGTGCAGTCGGCGGGGCCAGAGTGGAGAGAACAAGAGGGCAAGTAGCGGGAGATGACGTCAGATGGGTGGCAGAGTGGAACTAGCTCACACAGAGTCTTACCGTCTATTGCGTTAACTTTGGCTTTTACTATGCAGGTGATGGGAAGCCAATGGAGGGTTTTGGGTGGGAGAAGACTGTGATCTAATTACATGTTATCAAGATAATGTTGGTTGTTGTTTAAAAAGAGGTAATAAGTTAGGAGACTATTTCAAGACTGCAGGAGAAGCAGGGATTTTTGTTTTGCTTGTTTTGCTTTTGTTTCTCTTCTGCAGGGGTGGGCAGGGGTGGTGGTGAAGATCAGCAGATTGCTTCTGGATGGGTTAAATGTAAGATGCCCAACAGACATCCAAGGCCAGCGGTCACCAGCCAGTTGGGCCTCTAAAGTCTACGGTTCCGGGGAGAGATCTGGACTGGAGTTCTAACTATGGGAACTGTCAACATAAAGACGACATAAATTACCAGCAGGAACCTGAATGAGATCAGTAAGGGAGTGCGCGCGAACAGAAAAAGGAAGACATCTAAGAACCGACCTGGAGTCAAGCCAACATTAAAGGTTTGAGTCATGAGGAAGAATCAGCAAAGGAGACTGAGAAGCTGGGGCCAGTAAAGGAGGAAAACCAGGTTTAGGCTCCGGCAATGAAGGGAAGAGTCAAGGGTGTCAAACGTTGATGACAGGAAAGTCAGGTCAGGACTGATGACAGAGTGTACCTGGTGATCTTATTTTTGTACCCTGTTAGTGGTTCCTCTGTCTCTCAGCTTACTCACTCAGAATACACCCAAACTCATTTTTACATCCCCCTCCCTCCTCTCAGCCAACACTTCCACTTCTTTGCCTCTTCGAACGGAAATCACACAAGCTGTCACCACCTGTTCCCTGGATCAGTGCAACAAAGGGCAATGCAGAAACCTCCTTAAAAAGGAGGGAATTAGAAGCAGAGTGAAGGCTGTGAGTTTTGATAACTATGTTATTAAAAAAATTTTTGTGAGTGTTTGTTGACTAAAAATAAAACCACTTAAGTACACCAGCTATCAAAGAAATATGGATTAAAAATAAACTGGCCACCATTTTTTTTTTCAAATCAAACTGGCATTTAACGAAACATATCCCGTATGGGCAAGACTCAGCAGACAGTCTCATATACCACTGGTGGAAGTGTTAATTGGTAAAACTTTTCTACAGGGCAATTTGGCAACGTGTAAGAATAATTTTTTTTAAAGTTCCTTCTTCACACCTTTTGGTCCAGTGATTCTGCTTCTAGAAATTTATTGTAAGGAAATAATCAGAATTCGCAATAAGATTTCTACTATAGGATGTTCACTTTAGCACTGTTTCCTATAGAATTTAGGGTGTAGAATTCTATAAAATTCTGTATTCTTATAGTATATAGGAACAGTATCTTAGTGCTGTTTCTTACAGAATTTGTAAGATTAAAATAGTAATTAAAATAATTTGATACCCAGCATTAGTGACTGAGTCAATAAATTATGAGAGAGCCACAAAAGAAATACTCCGCATTAAAAGAATATCCAACAGCTATGAGAATATGTCAACAAGGTCTTAAAAAAAGCTATAAAAATGGTATATATGGTATGATTCTAAGTTTATAAAATTAGAAAATGGGAAAGATATCAACTGAAATCTTGGTGGTAATTATTTCTATACGTGCTCGAGATGACTGGAATTTCTACTCCTTCAGAAATATTTACTGAGGGCCTACCATGCGGCAAACACTGTTCTGGGTACTTGGAAGATGTAGTGAGAAGAGACAGAATTCTAGCTCTTGGAGAGCTTCCATTCTATGAGGAAGGATACAGACAATAAACAGTAATAAATAAAGGAATTATACATCTCTTAGGAAGGGAGAAGTGTTGGAGGGGAAGCACAGAGCAGAACTGGGAGTTGGGCGGCACAGCTGCCACTTCATGATACGGTAGTCAGGGTAGGTCTTACTGAGAACGTGGCATTTAACAAAGACTTGATGGAGAGGAAGGAGTTAGCCATGTGAATATGGAGGGAAGAGTATTCCACAGGAGGAGGCTCAGCAAATGCAAGGCCCTAAGGTGGGAGCACGTCAGACATGTCTGAGGATCAGCAAGGGAGCCTGGTGTCTGAAGCTGAGTGAACACGGCAGTAGGAAATGAGGAGCCAGCCTATGTAGAACCTGCTGCAAGGCTGTGGGGATGTTGGGAATAGACAGGGTAAGAAGCTACTGCAGTAACTGAGGTGAGAGATGACAGTGTTGAGATCAAGAGGAAACAGTACATTCAGGGAGAACTGGTCAGACTCTGGATATACAGGTGGTCCTTGATCAACCCGGGGGTAGGGGGTGGTGTTGGAGCTCCCAGTGTCTGCACAATCAAAAATCCTCGCTAACTTTACAGTCAGCCCTCTGTATCTGTGGTCCCACATCCAGATTTAGTACATACTTAACTAAAAAAAATCCACATTTAAGTGGACTCACACAGTTCAGACCTACGTTGTTCAAGGGTCAAATGTATTTTGAAAGGAAAACCAACATACTTTCTTGATGGATTAGAAACGGAGGACAAAGAAAGAAGGCCTTCAGGATTTAGAGCCTGCATGACTAGGAGGATAAATCTGTCAGCAACTATGGTGGAAAGACTGTGAGTAGAGTGGGTCTGGGGTGGGAGTGGGGAGATCAGGAGTTGAGTTTTGGACGTGGTAAGTCTCTCTAAGGGTGGATGTCCAGGAGGCAGCTGGATATGGAGTTCACAGGACACGTCCGAGGGGAGAGATACACTTGGAAACCGTTAGAATATAGGTCGTATCTGAACTATGTGGATGGGTGAGCACATGAAGGGAGTTCCGTGGACAGAGAAGAGGTCCAAAGACTGCATCCTGGGGGCGCTTCAATACTAAGAGGTAAAGGAAACAAGTAACAACCAGAGAAAGACTGGTTGAGAAAGTGACTAGTGAAGCACAAGAAGAATTAAAAAGAACGGGAGGGAAATAAGTGTTTCAAAAGCTGCTCAAACGCTGGGAGTTAAATCAGCTGAGAAGTGAAAACTGATCACTGGATTTAGCCATGTGGAGGTCAGGGCACTGGTGACCCTTGTAAAAGTGGTTTTGGCAGAAATGGAAGTGGGAGAGTTGGAGACTACTGAATACAGACAACCCTTTTGAGGAATTTCACTGCAAAGGACTTAAAGAGATGAGTGGTGGCTGACCGGGGAAGTGAGGTATAAAACAAGTTGTTATTTGGTTTTTGATGGAATAATTAGCAGCATGTTTGTATGTTTGATGGGAGCCAGCCACTCCACTGGTATTAATAAGATGGCAACAGATGGTACGGCTGGGAGGCCACACAAAAACTGCCTGGACAGCCTACCTCCCCCACCAGTCTGGCATACTCCGCCGCTTGAAATTCCTACCTCTCCAACCTCTCCATTTAAAATAGAAACATTTGGGGTCAGCATGACCTTACATGATCTCATTGCCACCTCCCACCCCCCACTCACTAAGAGACCACTGGCCCCCACTGGAAAGTCTGTGGCTTGTAGTTTCAAAATTACAGATTGAGCAGAAGTCATGAAATGCTGTAAAATCTATGGTGAGAAAGCCTATTTTTTAAGAAAAAATTTGGGAGAAAGAAAAACCATAACCATTTGATCCCATTCCTGGTAGAACTTTGTAACCTAGGAAACCAAAGCACTTCCTGCTTGCTGCCCCTTCACCAAGGGATGGTACTACATAGAGGAAGCCCTGGAAATCAGAGACTCCAATATGGTCATTCTCCTTCCCTCTTTTTTGTCAAAACTAGTCTCAGAAAAGAATGCCAGAAGGAATGGTGGTTTCAAACTGGCAGGGATTTTTGTGTCAGTTCTCATTTTACAAATTAAGAAACCACTTCTCAGGGGGTAAAGTGAACTGCCCCCAAAGCCAACAGCTAATTAGTAGGAAAGCTCTGAAAAAAACTGATGAACTCATTTACATCAACGAGTTCTCTGACAAAGGCACATTCTAGCACAAGCCATAGCCTCGGGCCAGTGGAATGGATGGAGAAAGAGGAGAAGGAGGGACGGCAGGCAAGGGGAGGAGGTTGTTCTTTCAGCATCAGGGCAGTCTTCTCGATGTTTGTTATTGCCTGAGCAGCTCCCTTATTTGCCTGTTTCAGTAGTTCTCAACAGGGGGTGATTCTGCCCTTCAAGGGGGTCTTCGGCAAGGTCTGGAGACATTTTTGGTTGCCACGGCTGGGGGGGGGAGGTGCTAGAGGCACGGAGTAGGTACACATCAGGAATGCTGCTAAACGCCCTACAGTGCACAGGATGGCCCCGCTCCCAGTATATGACTCTGAAGGAAATGGAGGGGAAGAGAGAAGAGAACCTTACCAAAAGTTGGCTCTGGAGTAGTGTTCCATGTAGAGCTGTTCGTCAGAAAAGGGGGCCAAGTGGATGTCGCTGAAAGTCGGGAACATCATTCCTGATGAGCAAAAGACAACAGACTCAGAAGCTGCCTCCTGCTGCCTCCTGCTGGAAGCGGACACTCACCTACCACTCAGCGGATTCCACTCTTCCGTTCTGTCTCAGTTATTACACACGGGCTGAAATGTAAATCTGCCTCAAAGCAATAACAAAATTACACAGAAGACTGGATGGGATATAAACAAGAAATACCAAAGCAAGTCAAAAGCTACATTATGATAAAAACTTAGGGTCCTAGGTGGAGCATTTAACCCGGCTTATTTGCCTTCTCAGCTATTGGCTTTTTTCTCTTTCTCTATCCCCTGTGCTTGAAATTCTGGGTACTTCTTTTATTTATTCTTTCTCTCATTTATTGTAAAAACAACTTAGCTTTGGAAATCATCAACATCCCATCACACTATCACATGATTATTCCCATTCTCAGACTCTGTTCATGAAAAATCATACTGACTACTTCTCTGCAGGCCCACCATCTTCCAGGCTGGGAAGCCCACAGTGGTGTTTGGTTCCTGCCATCTGCAGGGGAGAAGGCAGAGACTTTACGACGCAAATAAACACCTAGATCGGTGTGCCTGAAGTCGGGCCTCTCTGGGCAGGCAGACGTGGCAATCAGAATTATTACTCTTGTCATTTGGGGAGGCTTTTCTTCATAGTCATTTATTAAACTGCACGTGACAGAAAGATGAACATCAGCCCTATTTCAGAAACAAGGATTACTAAAAACCTATAGATCCTGTCACTATCATCATGAGAATTCCTAAAATTTCTGATTAACTCTGCCTTGAACATTTCTATGATATTCCCATGTATTAATTCATTGAATGCTCATAATACTATAAAGTACATTCTGTTATTATACCCACTTTATAAATAAGAAAACTAAGGAACAGGGAAATTTCAATGACTCAGCCATAATCACAGAGCTAATGAGCAGAAGGGAAAAATGCAGGGGTGAAATCTCACCCAGTTGTCAATGGCCTCATACTTAACTATGCTCCCTTTGATGTCTATTAAACTAGAAAAGGTCAGGGAGGAGGGTATAGCTCAGTGGTAGAGTGCATGCTTAGCATGCAAGAGGTCCTGGGTTCAAGCACCAGTACTTCCATTAAAAAATGAATGAATAAGTAAACCTAATCCCCCTACAAAAAAAGTAGAACAGATCATTTTATTTAGGGTGTTTTCAGAGGTGGTCAGAGGAAAACCATGATTGTAACATTACTCCTATTTCTCCATCTGAATCTCAAGCATTGTTGTCAAAACAATAATGACTGCCTGGTGGTTTTTCAATTTCAGGATAGAAGGATATGAAACAACTTTGGAAAAGTCATATCTATCATTATTTGTGTAAACTTGGGAAACTTCAGAGGAGGATCTTCTGAGTCCAAGCCTAACAGGAATTCCAAAGATACCAGATAAAATGGAGGAGAGGAAATCATCAAAGGTAAAATGTAAGACAGATTCCAAGAGTAGAAGAAAATGAATCATCTTATTTAATATACTCACTAAATGTCCAGCCCAAGAACTTCAAAAATTTCACATTAAGACAACCAGAAATAAAGACAAGATACTAAATGCATCCAGAGGGAAAGACTATGTCATTCTAAAGGTTCAGGAGTCAGGATGGCATGGGAATTCTCAATAGCAATATTAGAAACCAGAAAACAAAAAAAAGATGCCTTAAAAACACTGAGTAAAAAATGTTTTCAAGTTAAAATTCTCTACCCAGCAAAATGATAATACAAGGACTCAACAAATAGTAACTTCTCCACAAAGAATAAATGCTGAAGAGAGTGTGGAGAAAAGGGAACCTCCTACACTGTTGGTGGGAATGTAGTTTGGTGCAGCCATTATGGAAAGCAGTATGGAGATTCTTCAAAAAACTAAAAACAGACTTACCAGATGATCCAGCAATCCCACTCCTGAGCATATATCCCAAGGGAACTCTAATTCAAAAAGATACATGCACCCCAACATTCATAGCAGCATTATGTACAATAGCCAAGACATGGAAGTAATCTAAATGTCCGTCGACAGATGACTGGATAAAGTCGTGGTGTATTAATACAATGGAATACTACTCAGCCATAAAAAGAATACAATAATGTCATTTGCAGCAACTTGGATAGACCTGGAGATCATCATTCTAAGTGAAGTAAGCCAAAAAGAGAAAGAAAAGTACCATATGATATCACTCATATGTGGAATCTATTTAAAAAAAAAGACACAAATGAACTTACTTACAAAACAGAAACAGACTCATAGACATAGTAAACACACTTATGGTTACCTGGGGGGAAAGGGGTGGGAATGGATAAATCGGGAGTTCAAGATTTGCAGATACTGACTGGTATATATAAAACAGATAAACAAGTTTATACTGTATAGCACAGGGAACTACATTTGATATCTTGTAGTAACCTATAATGAAAGAGAATAGAGAACGAATATATGTATGTACACGTATGACTGAAACATTATGCTGTATACCAGAAACTGACATATTGTAAACTGACAGTACTTCAAAAAAAACACACAAAAAACAAACAAAAAAACCAGTAACTACTCAAGTACCCTTTCTTCAGAAGCTATTAGAGAATATTCTTTGCTGAAATGAATAGCGTAAACCAAGAAAAAGGGAGACAAAGGAATGATGATGGAGAGGCAATGTCTGGTAACCATACAAAAAGACTAGAGAGCTCCCAGTTGATGTGTGGTTGAGGAGGACAGAGAATTACAGGAGGAAGTCTTCCACAGAATAAATATGGATGGCATCTGTCAGACCCGCTAAAGCATGAAAAATATTGGTCATGAACAAATAGAAAACTAAACTAGTGAAAAAATGAGGCAATTAACTCCAAGAGAAACAAAAGATTTCATATGAAAATAATCATACACACCTACTACACCACCTGACTCAGCACTGAACAATATTTACATTGACATTGTAATGTAAACATTGATTATTGATTTAACCAAATAATAATCTGTCTATATTTCCTTATATTAAAAAGTTCTGAAATCCAAAAAGCTTTGCAAAGCAACAGATTTGCATAAGTGTGCAATGTCATTTGATGGTAAAACCTGACCTGAACTGACATGAGTTTATAGTCTTTATGTATCCCACTTGGTCTCCAAATTCATGTTTTTTTGCAGAAATATAATGTGTTTCATTATGGAGTGCTGCCTCAGATCCTACTGGAGGTATTAAGTAATACATGGTATTACGGGCTTTCCAAAGTCCTCCAGATTTGGAATTCTGAAATGTATCAGGCCTTAAGGGATTGGATAAGGGATTGAAGACCTGTAGAAACATATTGAGAGGATAGGGGTGGGGGTGGGTGCCTCAAGAAGGGAATGAGCTGTGATGCAGGAGAGCTAACTTCTCAACCAGAGAGTGACAAGAACAGCAGTATGATAATTTTACAAAGAAATATGTGGGTAAATAATAGAAACAACAGAGAATAGAGTTGGAAGGAATAGCCTTCGGGGAGCGGTCTCAGGATAGGCAGAGATGTGGCGGAGGGTTACTATTTCTCATTATAAGCCTTTTTATTATTATTTGATGTTGTAAACGATGTCTTATTTTGATGGAAAATAAAAATAATTAGTAAAAAATCAATCATCCTCCCCCTAGGAACACACTGGGTAGAAAGCCAATGAAATCAGTATTCATCTCTACTTGTCTAGTTAAAGATACATAGCCCAGTATAAAATTTCATATCCATTTCAAACGTCTGGGGAAAAAGGATGCCCAGGTATTAAGTCTAAGTTTTCGGCTTAGAGGGCAGCTCAACAAATGCATGTTGATTAACTATGTGTAAAACCTCATCATATGAAAGCACTTCACCATTTGAAAAAAAAATCTGGAAAACAATATAAAAATTCTTTCTGGGAGGTACTGAGGAGGAAATCCAAGCAGCTTTGTTCCTTTGCTTTCATCTCCCATAGTCCAATTTTATCACATGAACACAAGGCTTCCAAGATCATCTTGGATTGTTTTATAATAGGAATGCTAACAAAGTTCTTGACGTTAGGTATATTTGCCTAAGTTTATTTATTTTTGCATGAGTTTTTTTTTAAAGCCTATTTCTGAATCCTAAAATTTTGAAACATACAGGAAATTACAGATGAACTTCAGGCTTTACTTCTATGCATATCCTGGGTGACCTGGTGACTAGGAGTTGTACTTGTGCTTGCTGGTGTGTCTTCATTGGATGTCAAGGTAGGTGCTGCAACAGCGGTCATTTACAGTAAGTAAAACGGGCAAGGAACTGCAATTCTCATGAGAGAGAGAACTGTTAAGACTGACCAGTTACTTCCTAAGCCTTCATTGGAAGAAACGTGCTGTTGGAATGTGTCCACTCTCTCTGGTGAAGGGTGGAAATTTAGTGGATGTGCAGGAGCTGAGTGCGGGCTTCAGGGTCAGACAGATCCGTGGAGTCAAATCCCTGCTCTGTCACTTACTAGACGTGTGCCCTTGCCAAGCTGCTTTCCCTCATGGTGCTTCAGTTTTCTCTTCAAGAGTTGGGATCAAAATAGTGCCTCCTGCGAAGCCAGGTCTCAGTTGTGGCACTCTGACATTTGGGTTTGGGTAACTCTTTGAGTTGTGCGGGGGCTGCCCTGCACTTTGAAAGATGCTTAGTGACATCCATGGCCTCTCCCAGTAGGTGCTGGTAGCACCCCGTCCAACTGCTGTGACACCTCAAAACGTCTTCAGACGTTTGCCCAATGTCCCTGGGGAAAGGAGTGTAAAGTCACCAAGAACCTCTGCACTAACCCTTCAGGTAAATAAAAAACCTCCATCATTGATACTTTGTAAGGTTTTCATAAAATAATTTATGCAAATTGCTTAGCACATACAGACACTCGGTAAGCACAAAAAGAATACTGGACTTTGTAGTATTATCTCAATTATATGCAGTAATCATAGGGAAAGAGACACACAGTAGGAAAAGAATATGGTAGGAGCAACAAATGAAACGAGAGAGCTGTAGAGTTTCTCACATTATAGAAGATCAACACTTGAAAGGGCTTTAGAGATTACTTCCAATAACACAGATGAGGAACCAAAGTCAAAAGGTCAAGTGTTAGGCCAAGACTGCTGGGGAAAGAAATGACTTAACCAGGACAAAACTATCTAACTCGGAACTGGTCCTCTATACCATACTGAATACCATGCAGCACACCGCCATCAATGTTTTCTGGAGACCTGCTCATGTATTATGGAAGAATAAGAAGCGAAAATCAAAGAATTGGTGTAGTAGAAATGCTCTCTCCTCCTTTCTGTCAAGGATTAAATGTGGGGGAAAAAAGACGGCAACTTTTATGGAGAAGTTAGCCTATTTCCTAAACCAAGAATTGGCCAACTCACCATTTGCTTTCAGCCACTTTTTGGAATGAAGGTAACTTTCTAGCATCCTTTCATTGAACAGCATGTATCCCATTGGTTCTGAAATGATCACATCCACAGCCTCCGGAAGTGAGATTTCTTCAATTTTCCCTGGCAAAACAATGATCTTGTCTGAAAGGTGGTTATTTTTCACTAGCATCTGAAAAAGATAAAGTAGGGTACCAGTACTATTGTTACACACAATCTTATGAAAAATGTGTTTTGTAGTTTAGGGGATGATAGGGTGATAGGGATGGGACGGAGGTGAGATACTTGCTTCCATAAATACTATAAGAATATTTTTTCCTGCACAAATATTTCATCTTTACTAGAAATAAATTAGAAGATACAGATTTGGAACAAATAAAAATACCTATAATCAATACCACATACAAATAATAACTATTGATAATTTGATGTATACCCTTCAAGACTCTATACAAGTGTGAAAATGTGTGGTCTGTGTACGTGTGTGTACACAGGCACATGTACTTTTAGGGGGGTGTTATTAATGGCTTCAGCTTATTTCCCATTGTTCTACTGGCAAAAAAGATGCCCAAAGGCTCTGTACAACAATCTTGCATAACTTAATAATCCTGATCCTTATTAAATTATCCTCTGATATTTTGATTCCAAAAATGAATAATACTACATTCATTAGCCTTTTCTTAGAAGTACATTTTATAGTTACGTACTCAGTTTTGACATCCTCTGTATTCTATTTAATAACTTTGGACTCTCTTAAAAGAGGGAACTTGAAGAAAATATAGCCATTATATTTCTAATTATTTACTCTAAATGCCAAAAATGACAAGGTGATTGCATCATTACATTTATGCCTTGCTCCTCTCTGAAAAAAAATTTCCTAATAAACACCTTATATGTATTGGCAAAAATATATACAATACATTCATTTTCAAGTTGTGGTTTGCTGAGACTCTTAGATCTTTGCTCACTGTATTTGTATATAGTCAGAGACTCTCCATTTTGTATTTTTGTAACGTGATTCCCTTCTTCATCCTAAATGCACTACCCCAAGCATTCGTCATGACTGAGTTGCACTTCTCAATTTCTGATCACTTCTTCCCTATGCTAGGGTATCCTTCACCTTAACTCCAGGGTACTGCTCACCCACATGTGCCCTGTAACCTTGTTAAATGTCTTTTCTACTTATACTTTCTCTCTCTTTTTTTTAATCGAAGTATAGTCAGTTACAATGTGTCAATTTCTGGTGCACAGCACAGCACAAAAAAAATACATATATTTGTTTTCATATTCTTTTTTAAATCATGTTTTTCCTTCTAGTTTTATTGAGATATAACTGACATACAACACTGCATACATTTTTTTGTGGGGGGGAATAATTAGCTTTTATTTTTCTTAATAGAGGTATTAGGGATTGAACCCAGGACCTCATGCTAGCTTAGGCATGTGCTCTACCTCTGAGCTATACCCTCTCCCTCATACTTTTTCATTAAAGGTTATTATAAGATATTGAATATAGTTCCCTGTGCTATACAGAAGAAATGTTTTTGTCTATTTTTATATATAGTGGTTAACATTTGTAAATCTCTAACTCCCAAATTTATGCCTTCTCACCCTCTTTCCCCCAGTAACCATAAGATTGTTTACTATATCAGCAAGCCTGTTTCTGTTTTGCAGATGAACTCATCAGTGTCCTCTTTTTTCTTTTTTTTTAGATTCCATATATGAGTAAATATCATATGGTATTTTTCTTTCTCTTTCTGGCTTACTTCACTTAGAATGATGATCTCTAGGTCCATCCATGTTGTTGCAAATGGCGTTATTTTATTCTTTTTTATGGCTGATGGCTGAGTAGTATTCCATTGTGTAAATATACCACAGCTTCTTTATCCAGTCATCTGTCAGTGGACATTTAGGTTGCTTCCATGTCTTGGCTATAGTATATAGTGCTGCTATGAACTTTGGGGTGCATGTATCTTTTCAAATTAGAGTTCCCTTGGGATATATGCCCAGGAGTGGGATTGCTGGATCATACAATAAGTCTATGTTTAGTTTTTTGAGGAATTTCCATACTGTTTTCCATAATGGCTACACTAGACTACTTATTCTTTCAAAGAAATCAAGCAATCTTTAATGTAAAGAAAAACAATGAAGAAAACTATCTGAACATGCCATCCACTGTCAACATTTACCCAGGCACGAGGACATGTGGAATTCCATTCTAAAATCACTCCCCACATTAAAGTCAAGTTCAGAGTTTTCTAAGGAGAAAAGGCCTGAAGGGCAAAGCTTTTGGTGCCCTGCTTTTCTGTGTACATTCTCTTCTCAGGAGAGCCCATTCACCCACACAGCGGTAAGCACGGCCTTGCCATGAATGGCTGTCCAAACTACAACTTCAGGTTTCCTCTCTCACCTGAGCTCTGGTTATCACCGGGACGTTTCTACCAACCCACTCTGTTGCCTCAATCTCAAAAAGAGCCAACTTCAGCTTCATCTTAAAAACTAATTATTTCTCAAAAATTTTTGTATACTCTTTTATTTCCTTGATTCCAACTTGGTTACTGACGCCATAATCCTCAGTATCCTGGAGGCATACACAGTTGCTTCGCACAATTAGTTACTAAGTTTTCTTATTTATACTTTCCAGATATGTCTCACTTACACCTTTTCCTTTTTGCCTGCATCAACTTGTCCAGTTCCCAATAGCTTCAAATCTGGAATTTAAAAATAGCACTTATATAATGAAAATAATAAAAGCAGTGCCCACTTCATAAGCCTGCTTGAGGCTAAAACAAGGTAAGGCATTTCAAGGGGTATGTAAGTATTAAATAATTATTGTCATTGTTTCTATTAAAGAAAAGTGTTCACTAAAAGAGAGAAATGTAGATGAGCAAAGGCATGAAAGTAAAAAAATCACTGTGTTCCCATCATCCAAAGGTAGGCAGGGTATATTTCCTAGTAGATGGCTGAGTGTACCGCTGTTTATAAAAAATACACTTTTTGTAGTAATACTTCATAATTTTTTTTTCATGTATTATGTTTCAGACCATGTATCTGTGAATATTTTTAGCATCATGGCATACATAAAAAAGTAACAATCAATGTGATACATACTCCACACTGAGACTTTACAGAAAATAATCCTAAATTCTCAAACCCTCACGAAGATCAGAGACCTACTAAGGCTTCAGAGAGAGGATGTTACGAGCCATCAGAAGGGCAATTTGGGGTTCATAGGAAAGAACGTGAGTCTCACTATTCTCACTGGTAAAGAAGGACACACTACATAAACGAAAGTGAGAAAACAGGCCTGCCTGCAGGTCACTGAATCTTGTGACTTCATTTATTTTTGATGAGATTCAAAGAATACTAGCTCAAGAAACTGAAGATAAAGATTCTAGTCCCGCCTTTACCACTGAAGAGCTATGTGACCTTGGAGAAGTCACTTAAACTCTCTAAATTTTAGTTTCCCTCCTTGCAAAATGAGAGTTTAAAACTGGGTTGTTTTAGGCTCTTTTTAGTCCCAACATTTTATGATTAGGATAAAGCAAAATGTCCTCAAAGTACATTCCAGTCTATGAACATAAGGGGTTTCATGATCAAATAATTTTTGAACATATTTATAATACATATCCCTCTTACAAATTCAGAGTCCATTAGCATAAAAAAGGATTTTAGGAACTCTGCAGAAAACTGTTTGGTTTGGTGAAATCAAAGACATCCAAACTTATTTGAATACTTTGCAGGGTTTTTTTTTTTTTCCTGAATGATTATTTATCTTTCATAGATTTATCTTTAAGAAACAAAAAAATAGTTTTTTGAAAATCCTAGGTTTGAATACAATTCCTTGACAGAGATACTTGAAAATAGGATATAAACTCAACCAATAATACCTGTAAGACACAAAAGCAGCTAATTTCAGATATGAGATACATTTCAGTACAGATATTTTTATGTTAGCCTGTCATTTCAGAGTCCACTCTTCCAAAAATGAAACTCAGTAGAACTATCGTATCTAGAGTAATACACAACCAATATCCAGGAAGAGATCATATTACACTCAAATTATAAATGACCATTTTGGACAACCATCTGGCATTATTCAGTAAAACTAAAGATTTCAATGACTTAGAAATAACACTTCCTATAAATTTAAATTCTAGAGAAATTTTTGAACATGTGCACAAGATAACTGCACTAAAATTTTATTATAATATTGGTAATTATCAAGTAAAAGTTTTAAATAATCAGGAAGTAACTACTGACAGGGAAATGAATGAATAAATGGTTTTACACCCATACTATACTACTGAATAGTAAGAAAGACCTAGAGGTACATGTGTTAACATAAATAAATTTCATAAGCAGAATTTTAAGGAGGAAAAGAAAGAGGTTGCTGATGAACATACAGTATGATTCCTTTTATTAAAAAAGGTAAATGTATTCAAAAGTAAACTGTACTGATTAGGATATACTAAATTATTTTTTAAAACTCTTTTATGCTAAGATGTGGGTAACTTTTGGGAATGAAGGGAGGGCATGAAATTTGGGAGAAACATATAGAAATTTTAGCACACAGTTATACTATTCCAGTTGTTACACTGGGTTGTAGACATATATGTGTTTTTTTGGTTAGTATTCTTTATACCTTATATTTATATTCATCTTTATTTTTGTAGGCAAAAGTATTTTATAATAGGAGATTTTAAATTATGTTTTTAACTAAAAGAAAAGTTTGAGATTAATCATAATAAATGCAGATTTAAAAAGACAAAAGGATTTCTGAAATCAGAAAGAAACTAATAGACATGGAAGACAGATTAAAACAAAGCAGTATAGCAATAATTAATGTCTCAGAAGAACAGGAAAATGGAGTGGAAAAATCACTCAAAGGTATATTAAAATTCCTCTGAAAGAAAACAAACTGAATCTGTTAACAGAAAAAATACATAGCAGTCATAAGAAAATTTCATGCAATAATAACAACATGGAAATAAATTCTGCTCAAAGTTTTAGATTTAAAGAAAAAAGAATTAATTCCTTGGGCACCCATTCAGAAAAACAATAAAAAAGTCAAAGAAAATCAGGCTGGCATTAGACTGCTCTACAGTTATATTCATTTTAAGAAGACAATGGGACAGTGTTTACAAAATTTAGAAGAAAAAAAATTGTGAC